GTGGGTGTGCAGGTGATTCCCTGATTGACTTAATGTCTCATTCCGAAGAAGGCAACAGTGCCAGGCACAGAACACAAAAGGTGATCATGCCACAGAGCCAGAGGGCCGGGTATCCACTCAAAAGGCTCATTTATTCACCTTTGCTTAGCCTTTGCATCTGTGGGAATCCTAGACCTCTGGACACACCTGGCCAGGTAAAGAGTGCAAAACAGCCCAACTGATAAAGGGATTGTCTATCTGTCACTCTCACACAAGAGGGATTCCATGTCTAGGCTGGGAGATCGCTAGAGGGAGGTTTACTGAGGGTAGAGGACTCTCCGTTCCCAGGGTTGGATGTACATAGAAGGGAAGGGGACCAGGGGCCTTCACCATACATTTGAGACACTAGGAATACAGCACACCCCAAAATATAATTCAATAAATTTGTGAAAGGTTTGGGGTTCCCTTGCCAGGTATCTCCTGAGGCTTTCGGGGGCTTCCAAATGGTGGAACTCTGTGCCCTGGGTCTCTCCCCGCATCCCCTTCCTCGCCTCCTGAGCACTCAGAGCCTGGCCAGGCCACGAGAGAAGGTCTCCTGGAAAGGGAGAGGCCTCTTCTCATCCAGAGGAAATCCCAGTCCTGGCCACGGAGTCTCTGGGTTTGGCATTCACTGAGATTTCACACTAACAACTATTGATATTCTGCATTTTGTAGCTGAAGGCTTTCATGGCCGGAATCTCTGTGTTGCTGTGAGTCTTCCGGGCTGCGTGGCCATGTTCCAGAAGCATTCCCGCCCACACCTCTCTATGGCAGGCATCCTCGGAGGGGTGAGGCCTGTGGGAAAGCAGGCAAATGGGGTTAATATAACTGTGGGAAGCCAGGCAGGAAGCAGCCAGGCTTTGGACCTGCAAGGCCATTCAATGGTAACGAAGGTGGTCAATGGAAACAGAGAAGAGTTCTTCTTTCTTCCTCCTGACGGCGAGCGCATCTTGTAGCCCCGCCTTTACATTAGTGTGAACTGCAGCAGGGAGTTCCGCAGTTCCTGGGCCAAGCTTTGAGGCCAGCAGATGGAATGCGCCCCAGCTGCTAGCTCCAAGACCAGGAATGCCTGCAACTCCAGGTAACTTCCCCTCTCCTTTGACTTTGTATCTTTCCCTAATAAAGTGCTTGAAACCTGAAACTTTCCGATGTAATTGATTTCTTCAATTGATCCATGGCAGTTTGACAATTTGGAGTCCAAATTACCTGGTTCGGGTTCTTCTTTTTGGTAAGATCCGAAAGAGGGGCCGCCAAATTACTAAAAGATGGGATAAATTTGCGATAGTATCCAGCCAATCCAAGGAATGCCCTAACCTGTTTTTTCGTTTTGGGCACTGGCCACTGGTGAATAACTGCCACTTTAGTAGGGTCAGGTCGAATATGACCTCCTCCCACTAAATGTCCTAAATACTTAGTAACATTGTATCCTATCTTACACTTAGAAGCCTTAATAGTTAACCCTGCTTCTCTCAACCTGCTTAACACCAGATCCAAATGTTCAAGGTGAGCTTCCCAGGAATCGCTGAAAATCCCTATATCATCGATATAGGCCACGCAAAAAGACCCCAGCCCACTTAAAACACTGTCTACTAATCTCTGAAATGTGGCTGGGCTATTTTTTAGCCCAAAAGGGAGGACAGAAAATTCAAATAACCGACTTTGGGTTCGGAAGGCGGTTTTGTGTCGATCCTGTGGTGCCATGGGCACTTGCCAGAATCCTTTAGTCAGATCTATACTACTAATAAAGTTGGCCTTCCCCATCCTTTCTAGCAGATCGTCTAAACGTGGCATAGGGTAAGTATCTGTCTGGGTTACTTTATTTAACCGCCTATAATCCACGCAAAATCTAATTGTCTTGTCTGGCTTCTGTACCAACACTATGGGTGAAGCCCAAGAGCTAACTGATGGAACAATAATACCTAGGTCCAACATTTCTTTAATCTCCTTTTCAATACACTCATTAATTCTCCCCGTGACCCTGTAGGGTGGAGATACTATGGGAGTTGCATCACCGGTGTTTATTTGATGCTGGACTCCCTGGACCTTTCCTGGCAAATCTGAAAATATGTCTTTATATTTACTCAAAACTTTCACAACCTCTCTTCTCTGTGGTTGGGACAATTCTATGTTCATTTCTACCCGATCCAAATTTTTGTACTGTTCACGATCACCCTCCCAAAAAGAAAAGGGACCGGATTCTTCCTCCGAAACAACAAAACATACATTAGCAGACCTTTCAACATAAGGCTTTAACATGTTTATATGGACTCTTCTTTCTACATTGGAATGTTCATCATAAATATCATAGTTTATTTGGTTGTGTTTTCTGATGATCTTCCAGGGTCCCGACCAATCCAATTGAAGTTTGTTGGTTTTGTTGGGAGATAAAAATAAAACTTCATCTCCGATGTTGAAGATCTTTGGTTTAGCAGTAGAATCATAATAGTCTTTTTGTCTCTGCTGAGCCGCAAGCAAATGTTCTTGTGCAATGTCCCTAGCCAGTTGCATTGTTGATTGAAGATCCTTTAAATACTCCGACACTGGAACTGGATCTGTTGCCGGACTTTCCTCCCAATATTCCTTTATCAGGTCTAATGGACCATGAGCTTTCCTTCCATATAGCAATTCAAATGGACTGTAGCCAGTACTGTCATGAGGGACGGTCCTGTAGGCGAATAACAGTTGTTGCAATTTGACGTCCCAGTCGTATGGCTTCTCTTGACTGTAAGACTTTATCATTTTGACTAAAGTCTTGTTCATATTTTCAACTAGTCCATTTGTCTGTGGATGATAAGCTGTTGAAGTCAGGTGTCTGATACCACATAACTCAAGCAATTTCGACATAAGTCTGGAAGTGAATTGGGTTCCCAAATCTGAAACCAATTCTCTAGGATAACCAGTTCTTCCCCAAATGGATAACAGTGCATTTGCAATCGTTGTTGTCTCGATGTTAGTTAGAGCTACAGCCTCTGGATATCTTGTGGCGTAGTCAATCATGGTTAAAATGTATCGGTAACCACGTCTGCTTGGTTTACAAAGAGGACCCACTATGTCAATGCCCACTCTGTAAAATGGTTCTCCAATTATTGGCATAGGGATCATAGGAGCTTTAATTTTATCCCTTCCAGTACTCAATCTTTGGCAGATGTCACAAGACTGGCAAAACTCTTTGATCTTCTGGAACACGCCAGGCCAATAAAAGTTCTTAGTGATTCTCTTTGTGGTTTTCCTCACACCCAAATGTCCACCTTGAGGGTTTTCGTGTGCCACCCTCATCAGCTGTTCTCTAAAACTTTGAGGCACTACAATTTGACTACTTGTCACTGATTCTTCTGTTGACTCCACATTCCTGGTTTTTCTATATAAAACACCATTCTTTAACACAAACTCGGAGGGCTGTTCTTTTGCCAATATTGTGGGGTTTTGAGCCAAAGCGAATAGAGGTTTAAGAGATTCATCGGCTCCTTGTTCCTGCCGAATTTCTTCAATTCCTCCCGTCTTCTTAACAAGCTCAGCAACCGTAGCGCTGGATTCCGGACTCTCCTCCCCATCCTGTTGTATGGCAAAACACATGGCTTTTTGATCATGGCTTTCGTTGTTATATTCTTCCTCTTCACACGTCATCCTCCAGCTTTCAATCTTCTTAGCCAAATCATTTCCAATTAAACATCTGTATGGTATGTCAGGACTGACTGCAAAATCCCACATACCCTTCCATCCTCCATATTCTATTGGCAAAGTCACTACTGCTGTTGGTATCGCAGGTCCTAAACCTTTTAATCTTATTTCAGAGGTAGGCCGCTGAAATTCCTGAGGTATTATTTCTGGATGCACTATACATACTTCAGAGCCTGTATCTCGAAGTCCTTTCATGTCTTTGTTGTTAATAGAAATGGTTTCTAAGTAATCTTTAGATGGGCTGCCTGACAAGATGAACAAACATTGTTTCTCTTGAGGCTCTGAATCTGAACTCTTCTTTGACACAGTATCTGGTTCTAGCCAGAGTGAACCAGAGGATTCTGGGATCGTTGGTTCCCAAGGCAAAGATGCTTCGATGCTAACAGAAAAAGGGGCCGAGGAAAAGGTTGAACGGCCAAGGCCAGATAGTGATAGTGAAAGGAATGTACTAATTGGCAAGCTGAGGGACGACCAGACACTCTTAATAATAATAACAACAACAACAACAACACTTTATTAGTACCCTG